ACCCCGACAGACGGCCGTCCGTCACGTTAACTGCGCAAACACGCTCACCCGCCCCGGCAAATCGCCGTATTTAATTTTACCTGCGTTTTCTACGTGCGCTATGTATAGTTTTTCCATTCGATCCCGCACCGAAGAGCTAACGAGCAACGGTTTAAATAACGTTTTTACCTCATCCGACCCGACACAGATAAACGCACAGCGATTAAGTGATACATTTACCCATTCCGCCTTTTTCAGGAAATACGATCTTCCCGGAAATGCTGATTCTTTGTTTCTTTCAGTAACATTTATTACTTCTTTAATGCTTAATATCGTGATTATTTGGAAAAATATTTTGGAAAGATGATAGATTTAATAATAATCTGGATATTTCATTTATCAAGAGATGATTTTGGAGTGGTAGTTGTAGCTTACACACTGTGGGGTATAACCTCCAAACGCATCCAGCTTTTGGGTTTGCGACGGCCTAATATTAATGTTGTAAATTATTCGAGCGCCTCCGGGCAACAAAGCGGCGGCGCGCAGTGTACAGATCGGCGTATTTATCTTTTGCCCGAAATTAAAGCGATAAATCGTCTGAAATGAGTCATTTTCTTGCTCGGGCTTCGCCCTCAGAGCCCGCCTCCAGGCTCGGAGTAGGCACCACCATCCGCGGGCGGGTGGCCTTAAATTATGCAATTAACCGGGTCGGCGCTCGGCATCCTTCGAAAGCGGTTATTCAGGACAGTTTCGAACAAGGAGACAATCGGCACAATTGCGCCTTGCGGCCCGGAGGGCTCCGAACTATAAAGGGGTGCCAACCCAACCCCCCCTCGTAATTACAACTGTAGCAGTACAAAGTGGGGGGAGAAACAAATTTCAGCAATAATCTTGAAATGGAATAAAAACTTCGATTGAAATATTTACTTAATTACAGTAACACCAAGTTAGAACGCACCAAATATTTTAGAGTCAGTTTAAACGTTTAAATATAAATAGTGCTTTCGAAATCGTATTGTTTATTTCAACGACTCGATTTGCAACAAACTTCTTTCACTTTGTTGGATCTCCTATTATCCAAGCTAATGTGATTGTGGAATCTGACTATGCGAAGAGTCGAGCTTCTTGATCTAATTTTAGTGATTCTTTTAAATAATCTTGCAAGTAATACTGCTGCGCAAAGTTTTAATCTTGGTAACCTGGATTTTGTTACTTTTGTCTTGCAGGTGCTACTTTTGATTTAGCTATTACTAGAGTCGACGTAATATCTTCGCTTTCATTCTTGCATTCTTGCACAAAACCCGTAAAGTTCAACTTTGGATCCTTTTGTGCTTTTGATCCACCTTGGCAAGTTGATTTCTTCTAACGCTTCTTGAAATTGTTACCATGGATGATATCATTGGAGCAGAAGAATATGGAAAAATCGTTCAAGATGGGATTCATAAAGCTGAATATGGATTATTGGGACAGAATACGAACTTTGGATGGATTTTGTCAGGAACAATTAAAAAGAAGAAACAAGCTACGACCATTATAAGCATGATAAGTCGAAGAAGACGCTCAATTCAAGAAGTTCTGGGAAATTGAAGAAATTCTAGTTCCAAGAATTTAAACGAAAGAAGATGCAGATTGTGAAGACCATTACCAAAACAACACAACAAGAAATGATGACGGTACATACACTGTGACAATCCCTTTTAGTTTCAAAACTAACACAAATAGAAAGACGACTGGTAAAAAATGAACAATTGGTAAAAACTACAATACCTCGAATTTATGAAAAAATACTTAAAACTTGGTCATATGGCAAAAATACAACCCGAAGATCAACCTGCTAAGAACTACATTGCTCATCAAGCACTTATTCGTCCATCTAGTACTACAACAAAACTCAGAGTAGTGTTTGATGCATCGAGTAAAACCTCAAACGGAATAACTTTAAACAGTGTCATGCACACAGGCCCTAGGTTACAGCAAGAACTGTCAGATATCTTATTAAGATGGAGAATACATCGCATTGCCTTCTCAGCTGATATAGAGAATGTATAGGCAAATGAGAAGTTTGAAAGAAGACGAACCCTTTCAAAGAATATTATGGAGATTAAATACATCGGAGCCTATACAGGAACATACGGTTACTTACGGAACCACAGCCGCGCCATACTTAGCCGTTAAAACGTTACAACAATTGGCGCAAGACGAAAAATGCAAATTCCCAGAGGCGTCTAAAATTGTCTTAGAAGACTTTTACGTTGATGACGTGTTATCTGGTGCAGATTTCATAACAGAAGCACAAATCCTTCGGAAACAACTTAACGAGATGTTAAAAATTGGCGGATTTTTATTGCGAAAAAGCAAACCAGAATTGCTTCAATTAATACCAATCTCACTAAGAGCACAAGCTGACAGAGAAATAACTGAAGATTGGCTAACTAAATCCCTGGGCGTATAATAATAATGTTTATTTGTCGTATTGAGATAATCCTTATTCTTCTGATGAAGTTGATTGCTGTAACGTATTGTATATGTGAATTCCATTTCAGGTGGGAATCTATGTTAAGACCAAGGAATTTAATTGTATGTCCCGTATCTGACTCTCTATCTGACACTCTTTCGCTTCCAGCTCGACTTCTTCGGACCTTCCGAGGAGTTCTTGTCTGTCTCTAGATGTCACCAACAGAGAAGTATCATCAGCGAAAAGGCACGTCAAATCAGCCGTTAAGTTTTGGGTCCAGAACAGATCCCTGTGGCACTCTCTGTCCTATCTGTCTTGTTACCGAGAATCTTCCTTTCCAGTAAACCATTTGTGTTCTATCCTGGAGATATGTCCTGAAGAGTGAAAGTGAAGTACCCCATATACCGTAATACTCTAGCTTAGCGAGCAGAATCTGGTGGTCGACGCAATCAAAAGCCTTTGTTAGATCGCAGCATTTGAGTAGTGCTTCTTCCTTTTTATTGAAAGCATTTGCTATCAGTTCCAAAGGACCCGTAACAGCTGACGATGTGGATCTTAGCTTTCGGTAACCGTGTTGTTTGGTGCTAAATAAGTTGTGACTTTCAAGAAAATCAATCAGTCGCTTCTTTATTACTCATTCAAAGACCTTGGATAGTGTTGCTTGTATTGCGATGGACCTGTAATTAGCGCAATTCGCTTTGTCACCACTGTTGAAAACTGGCACTACCTTTGAAACTTTAAATTCTTCTGGGTAAATTCCATCTAGCATGCATTGATTGATAGCATCTATTAATGGTTTTGCTATTTTCGTATACTCTTATTTAAAACTGATGAAATTCCATACAAGTCTAATGTATTTTTTGATTTTAGGTTCTGTATGACACATCCGACCTCTATCAAATCTACTCGTGTGAGGAAAATAGAACTCGCGACCGATTTGTTTCTCTTCACGAAGATTTCCGGACAGAGCACAAGTCCAGGTTCAGAGCGCATCTGGTTGCCACTCTCACAAAAATATTCGTTAAAGTCATCCGGAGTTGGACCATCATAGTCACTACTGGCGTCTAATTTCTAATTTCTAATGGTCTTAGAACGATTATTTAACGCTATTTTGTATAAAGTTGGAAAAAGTTATAGCTTTTTGTTGTTGAATTGCTTGCTTATATTGGGCACCTTTGACAGATACTTTTCGATTTCAAGTGAATGTGACCATCAATGAGAACCCAAACATACAAACATACAAAGCGTCAGAAGTAGCCAAATTATTTGACCCTCTCGGTTGCTAAAGCAAAAATTCTTATTCAAGAGTTGTGATTTCAAGAATTAAAGTGGGATCAAGCTGTGCCAGACCAGGTCAAGTATCCATTCCAAATAAATATCTGGCTTGTCCGGAGTTTATTTTCTCCCAAACACTTTTCAAATATCTGGCCTATCTGGTTATTAACCAAAAAGTAGAAACCCGAATCTTACTAGTTTTAGATCTAGTGTTAGTTCTACTTTTAGTTTAATAAAAATGTACAACAATCTAATGCGGAATAACAATTAAAACTAGAACTAACACTAGACTTAGAACTAGAAAGTTGTTTCGGGTAAACCCAAATGTTTCTAGTTCTAGGTCTAGTGTTAGTTGTAGATTTGTTCAATGAAAAATATGCGGAATAACAACTTTTTAATAATTTCGTAATGAAATTTTTATAAATATAAAATGCAATTTTGGTAACATAAAAACGAACAACTTCAATTAGTTTACTTTGCCCTTTCGGTGAGATGCTAATTGCGCATTTTACAACATTTTCTGGTCCTATACGAACGTGCGCCCTAATTGCTTCAAAGCGCCGAGCGAAGCATCCGTCGTAGTCAACGGAGTTGGATCCATAACGAAATTCCGCTTATTCCGCGTCTGGTGGTCGCAATTGCAGAGCAGTGCCAGATAGGCAAGTTAAACACGTTGAATATTCATATCGGCGAGCGTCGCCGTTGTTGTTATTGCCGGTTCTCGCATCGGAGTCAGAGAAAACGACTCGAAAGAAGAAATTTCGAACTTTCGGGCTGGGGCGTATTTACTACGTTAAGTTTCGAAAGTCTCTTTCTCTCTTTTAGCATCCGTTTTAATATTCACCGAAGGAATGCCTCCGACGCCTTTAGACGTGAACGTCGCGGCGCTAAGGACAAAAGTTAACAACTTCAATCGTTACCAGAAACGAACGCCATACGAGTCTCTGGTGAATTTCGCAAACCGGCACGCGTAATTAGCAAAACAACTCTCCTGGAAACGTATTGTACGTTATCCGCGAAATGGGAAGTTTTTATGGCCCAGTTACAGGTTAGTTTCTATTATGATAACGGTTCCATGGAGTTGCTTTCAGTAATTATGAAATTATACCTAATAAGAATATTGAAAACTTGAGCGAAGAAAAATTAATAAAATTTTCCTACAATAGAACATTCTTTGTATACAGAAAAGTGAAGTTTAATAAAAATTTCTTGGAGGCAATAAAAATATTATTTGAGTAAAATTTTTAATAAAAAATGTTTATTAAGTTTATATTAAATAAACAATAAATTAATTTATAATGGGTTACTAAAAATTTCGAGATCTCCTCAAATTTTGTATACTTTTTAAAAATAGTTCCCATTCTTGTGAATTTTCACAGTGCCACCTCTTGTGTTCGTTTCCATCCTCGTACACCGTACACCAAGTTCCTGAATGATCCTTTAAAACGCCGTTGTTCCCGGTACAGATGCATTTAGGCGGCTTAGGAACGTTACAAGACATCCAGTGGAACAACTCTTTCGAATAGCACTTGAGTTCTCCGTCCGCTCTCTGAGGTCTATAACCTTCCCAGCATCGACATCTTGTTCGAGCCGATAAAACGATGACTTCTTCGTTCATCACCAATAAAACGAATAAAAATATCAAAAACATCTTGTATCTACAATAAAATTAATAAATCTGATCTTAATCATTTTAATTTTAATTTACTTACATCATTTTTGTGAGTGCGAAAATTATATGATATGTTCTTGGCGGTTGATCTCTTGGTACTGGGAATGGTTTGACGTGTAACGGTCGATGAACGGGTTTTAAATTTACTTAAGCGGTTAATCACGGAAGAATGGCGATAAACTCACACAAACAGTACACCAGGTGTTTTCGTGTCATTCTTGTCACGAACAGTATGCGCTATGGCGTGCGTTCCCGTTCAGGACGAAGTGGGTTAATGCCATTAATTGTCCGCGGTCGGATTATGCGACCGACGTTGGATATATTATTCCCGACGGCAATTTGGGACAGCCAGCAGTTGAATGATGGCGTAAAGACCGTAAGGTTAGTGGTCCTCGGAGGTCGAACACTTTTTATACAAACTTTAACAGTTTGGGGAATACTAATCGGCGATAATTTATATTTACGAATATATTATATCGCGGTTTAGAACATTATTTATTAGACCCCGCTGAACAATTTGATTGTTATTTTAGATAATAACATATTGCGTATATTAAAAACCCAATCCAAAAATTCAAGCTGTTTTTATGCAACGAAAAAAGTTATTTTAAAACTTTCAACTCAACGATAAGCACTTGGCAACGCGAAAGGTGTTGAAATATTGCATTAAATGAAGATGTTATGTTCTACTAAATAAATGAACGTATCAATCCGTTTAATAACGTAGAACTGGTTAAACTAAAAAAAAAAAAAACTTACTGTAGTACTTTCCATAATGACTCACCTGAAACAAAAAATCAAAAAATTAAAAATTGATTACACATTTTATTAAAAACCAAGCGGAACCATCACATTCATCAATTAACCAATTACCCCTTCAACTATACACACCTTTGCACTTTACACTTAAACATGAAAATTGGGAGGGTTGGAATTCGGTTAGATCGATCTAACACCCTTAAAATCCTTCCTTTCCGCCTTATTTCCCTTCCGGCGCCTCCACCATTTCTATATCGTTCAATCTTCCCTCCTCCGACGTCACACAATATTGACCCGCACCCTCTTTTTTACTGTCATTCAATTTTATCTAATAAAATGCAAAAAAAACTCTTTAATCGAGATCCTATTGTCGTTTGGGACCCGTTTAGAGCGACCCCCTTGCCTCCGAACCTCACCTCAAACACAATCGCGATTCTAATCAAGGTTCGCAAATACGGCGCGGCTGCGAGCGCAAATACAGAGATCACTTGAATAGTGCAACGTAAATAGGAATTAAAGTGGTTCTCGCGTTGACGGGGATAAAAAAAGTTTAAAAAAATATCCGTAGTCTTCTAAGAGCTTGTTTAATCAATGTAACATCTGTTCAATTTTAAAATAACAAGTAATTTCTATTAAACTCAAACTAGAACTAACACTAGACCTAGAACTAGATATTTTCGGGTTGCCGGCCATCGTAAGTATTATGTTGGCCAAACTGGACGTAATATCGAATGCCGCATTAAAGAACATGAAAGGGATGTAAAACTAAACAAACTCCAACAATCTGCAGTCGCAGAGCATTACCACAAAAGAGGACACACCATATAGTTCGACAAAACCAAAGTATTAAGCTAGAACCGAACATTATTTCTCGTGATGGTACGAATATCTATCCGGCCATTATGGTTATAATTTCTGGTACATTTCTGAAGTGATACCCTACACTGCCACATTATTGCGATATTTGAATAAAAATGAAACTAATAAGAAAGCTGATAAGATATGTCAACTTATTTGGATCCAGATACAAAATGAACTTCTTTGATAATTTAACTAACGAAGCAACTCTAAAAAGAGGAGTCACTTTTTAATTAATAATTGGTGATATTTTCACAAGGAGCCTTCCAGAAATTAATTTTATAGCGAATTTTAAAAGTTGTCGAGGAAAATTGCAACATCGAAAATTCTATCAAAACTACGAATATTGTTTTCTCAAAAACTAAAAGTTGTTTTTTAAAACACGTTAGTTCATTGGAAAGAGGACACTTTTATTAACACTTTGGGAAATTTTCATACTCATATTCCAAGAAATGGATTTTATACGAATTTTTAAAACTTAATCGACATAAATTGCAAAATTCGAAAAAATTGTCGATCATTTCAAAAATTTATTTCTCAAGAACTAAAAGTGATTTTTCAAAACGGCTTTTTGCATTAAAAAGAGGATACTTTAATTAATAATTGGTGATATTTCCACAAGGATCCTTCAAAAAATTAATTTTATAGCGAATTTTGAAACTTATTGATGAAAATTGCAACATCCAAAATTTTATCAAAACTTCCAATATTGCTTTCTCAAAAACTAAAAGTTGTTTTTCAAAACGGGTTAGTTCATTGGAAAGAGGACACTTTTATTAACACTTTGGGAAATTTTCATACTCATATTCCAAGAAATGGATTTTATACAAATTTTTAAGACTTAATCGGCAAAAATTGCAAAATTTGGAAAAATTGTCGATCATTTCAAAAATTTATTTATCAAAAACTAAAAGCGAGTTTTCAAAACGGCTGATTGCATCAAGAAGAGGATACTTTAATTAATAATCGAAAGTGATAACAGCGATAGTTCTGTTAGTAATGAATGTGATGATGAATGACAAGCGAAAGAAGAGAAGGAAACTAGACGAAACTGCAACAAGAGATTTTATATATCGTATTGGAATTGTTACAATGAGGTTGCTAAAAACAAACCTGATATAAACAAAGTTGTTTTCAATGAAAAAAGTACTATTGGGGTTGAACTTGATTATTATCTGCAATGTCCAACACTTAAAAGAGATACTAATTCCTGTGAATGGTAAAGTACTAAGTAATAGGTTTTTAATATTTGGTATCCGGTATCCGGCAGGATTTTAAAAAATGGCCGGATAGTTGCCGGATATCCGTTCCATCACTAATTATTTCCAAAGAATGGCGAGAGAGGAGATAGAGATTCATCGGCATGGGAATAACATGAATAGAGATGACGGCTGGGAACTCAGCCGCATATGGAAGATGCAACCAAACTGTAACCGATTTCGTCACTTCGAACTTGTTTCTGAAGAAGGTTGGAACATGGCATCCGAAACGTTAGTGTTAGTTCTAGTGATAGTGTTAGTTCTAGTTTTAGTTTAATTAACACCGACCGCCAAAGTCTTCGTACTTATAAAGTAATTTCTAATTCAACTACATTTTTGAATTGAATTCTTTTAAAATACTCAACATCTCATCTCGCCTTTGAAATGGTACCCGTTATTAGCGCTATTTCATCGAAATCCGCCCTTATGCAAAATCGGGACTACGCTGACTGTACGTTTCTCGACCCTGTCGAAGGCGACTTCCTTCCGCCGAAAAGGGGGTTTTGAAGGTGGGGAACAGAGCGCGTTAATCACCCGGTCGCTGTTTAGCACCCCTCGCGCACGTTCGCCTCCTCGCGCCGCTTTTCAAGTTAAACTAAGCTTCAAACTGACGAATTATGCTTAATGGGAGTTGGTAGTTGGTAGCGGCGTGCACTTTCGGCCCCACGAATATCGGACTCGGGTGCTCTGCTCGCTGGTAGAATGCTTAATTAGACTTCGGAGGTGGGTCGTTATGGTGGCCACCCTACAGACCCGGCTAATAGAAAGGGTGGAAATATTAGACACTGGAGGGGTTGTTGAAGCGTTGATAGCGTAGCTCAATTTCAATGAGTTATTTATGAAATAATGATCGCAAAATAAAAACGTATACTTATTAAAAAAAAAGATTATTTAAAAAGATTATAAAATATTATTTCTACAATATCATTCTTCTTAATTATAATAACCACCTTATAAAATTCATGAATAAATGCAAGAGAATGCCGCGAGCGGCGCCATCGAAAGCACAACGGTCACGAAAGGGTCTAAGGGTCACGTGCAAAGATATTACTCTTTGAATTAGTTTACGCCGACGTTATTAAGTCGAAGAGAAAGGGAGCGAGCGATACGTGAGAAAATCGGAGTAGAGGGCGCGGTCGTTTCGTGCTCGTTCTTTGTCTTCGGGGCACCTGCCGGAGGCACGGCGGCACATTTTACATTTTTCTAAATCAACCCGACCGGCGCTCGTGCGGAATATTCGAGAATTGCTTTCGTAATTTCCTGTCCCGGAGGCGACACCTCCCGTTAGAATTGTACCCTCGAACAAAAGGAGTTAAAATGAAATGCGACTCAAAGTTACCACCTTTTCGTTCATTATGTACAATCGGATGACATTAATTAAGGGGCCCACGGGGTACAATTCAACGCGATTGATAGGAGTGGACACCAAAATAGATTTTTCTTTTATCTCTAAAGGTAAAAAGGATAGATATAATTTATTTTTGGAAGGTAATTTCATGGAATACATTTATGTGAACATCTGTGTGCAGTTTTTACGATATCGTCACACATAGATTTATTTCCTTTTCGTTTTTCCTCTATCTGCTACATTATGGGTTCAGGACCCAACATTGTCCTCATTTTAACGATGAGGTTTCCTCCAAACATGTCTAATGTACTAAACTGAAATAGGCATCATATACAATAGTATATTCCCTTATTCTTTATCTATAAAACTAAAGTGAAATTAATGGCAGAAAGTTGCAACACGGCAGTGTATCTCTCAAAGATTGACATCAAATTGTCTCAAAGTTTGATAGATGAGCATTTTATAGAGTTAATTCTTGCTGAGAGCAATAAATATGCTGAACAAATCGAAGGACCTTTATCGAAATATTAGTTTGTACTGGATATATAAAAGTATGACAAAGATTAATATAAACACGAATGAGTATATCAATTCGTTTTTGCTGCATCCATAAATACAGGTAAGTAAAAATATTCATATTTGAGAGTTGTGCAAGGGTGATATTAGAATACCTAGAGTAAACAACCAAATTATATTGTATTCAAAAAGTGATTTTTTGCCTTGGAGAGAGAAATTCAGAAAATTAAGCGTCTCAAAAACGTTTCACAAATTAAATAGCCAAAATATTCTGCATCTCTGTACTCTTTCTCTTTATCGAAAATAAAAATTTCCTCCAACAATTCAAAGTTACGTAATAAAACATTACCAAGTGAAAGCTTATATATCCTTACACACTTTTTTAAAACCCTTTGCTTTCAATGGACAAGCGCATCTATATGAATAATGTAATTGGCTTCACAGTGGTTTTGGGGATTTATTTCGAATAAGCGTGTGTAATCCTACATAACAGCCAGACATGGAGTGAGCTTCACTACTACTGGTACCAACGCATTTAGGCCCATTCGAATTAATTTTAGATATGTGCGTATCAAGATATTTTTTACAAAACAAATGGTCTTTTTTAATATTAGAGTATCACATC